TCATTAGGTAATATTTGAGAAACCAGGTGGAACTTGCTTTGCATGGCAGTCGGACAAAAGCTATGGGACAGACTTTTTAAAACTGCAGGCACATGTTTATGCATAGAAAATTGTATATATGACCATGCACCTAATCAGTGAATGTGATTACTCTGATTGCATTGTGTACATGCCCAGTTAAGTCCAATTTTTTTTTTAGTATGCAACTACCCTATGGGTATGCATGACTGCAGTAACTGTGCATGCATTTTGCACGTGCAAATGCATCATTTCAATTTTTAAAATGAGGCTTACTTTGTCTTGAAACTAAGCAGCTCTGAAATTCTGTTTTGAAAACTTATTTTGAACCCCCACAGCAGAAAGAGGGTTAAAGTTTCAACAGGTTGTGAGTTAACAATCTTTACAAGTATAGACATATGAAGTTCTTACAAATACTTTCACCTCTTCCTGAGAAAGGTCCCTGTTAATCAATCAGTCTTCCAAACACCTGTGTGCTCAGCCACTGTCTCCCTCAGTTAGATTGACACTATTTGCATATCTTTTGTAATAATGTAAGGTAACAAGGATACACAATACCCATAGCCTTGAAAACCTATCGGACTCTAGGGAATTCATGCTGAAGCCCAAAGACAAACATGAAACTAAGCACCCTATTCTGTCTCTGAAATCTAGGTGCAAAACAATCATTTTCAAGACCAAATTACTAGTTAACTACATAATATAAAGGTGACCCTTGAAAATTTGCCAATTGCCTTAGATAACTAAGTCAATATTTGCAGTTGGATAACCCCACGGTTTAGAGTAATAAAGGTATTACCTACAGTAAGTATAGGCAAGTAGGAGAGGAATACTGTAGATAATGAGCTAACCCTAGCTATTTATTTTAGTTGTCAAGTGTTTAAAAGGGCCATCATTGTTGCTATAAATGACAGTAATCATTTTTTTAATGTTAAAATCATGCTAGCTTTAAGAGAAAATAATTAAGCGTGTTCTTAACTTATCTATAGGGCTAAAATATTGCTGAACATATGCTATATAAAATTGCCCATTGTTCACAGTACTATGGAATTGATGGATTTGATAGACACTTGCTTTTGGAATGTTGACTTGAAAAGGAAGTAATGCCTATATCATGTAGTCCCTGCAAAAAGCATAAGAAATACAATCCTGGAGGGGTTTCTAAGTGGACATAAGATGTCCTCATTTTTATATAAACATCCAGATGGATAACAGTACAGCTGGTTGGCAGTCAGTTGTGTCATACCACCCCAAGTAAATACCTGTCAAAGTGGACCAAAATTTTCTGGCAGAGAAGCAGGTTGCTTTTTTCAGAAGGAAATTCAATACTGTAGCTCACTGCAGTTGTTATAGGGCAGTGCTCTATATCTGAGTCTTAATTTGAATACACCTGGAAATGCTTTCTCACTGAACTTTCAGAAAAGCTGTTTCTTGACCCGTGAAAGGTCCCCTGCCTTTGGTAGTGTTCCAACAAGATGGGTCTCAAGCCTGAAATTTTGCTGGGCTCTGGCCAGCTGGTCTAATGAAATTTCACTTGCATTGTTGGGTTAGGAGTGACCTAGAATACACTGCTCCAACTCTGTGCACAATGAAATCTCATAACTTATGAGATCTGAAGGCAGCCAACAACCTAACAGACTGATAGGGTTGCTGAGAGACTGAGATGGATTTCATAAAAGATAGGAAGCTCTTTTGGTGATTAGGGGAGACAGAGTGGAGATAATTAACTGAACTACTGTAAGAAGATTTTACCAGAATCAGTTCACCTATACATCACACAAATACAGTGGCATCTCCTTCATTTGAACTCTGATAAGGAGAAACATCATTTATAGAGAAGCAGAATGAAAGTTCCTGATTGTTTTAAGGCATTGCAATGTGCAAGCAGCAATTCATATTACAGTGAAGGGTGAAAATTAAAGGTTCTATGGTGTGAGGGTCCCAAAGTAAAAGAAGTCCCAGTTTAGCAGGGTAGGCTCGGCCAAATCTCTTGAGAACTGGTTACAACACAGTCAACTGACTGGTGACCTAGCAATCTCTCTCAGCTCCATCTCCTTCACCTGAGTATCCCTCCATCCAGATTGGAAGAAGAGCTCTGTGTAGCTTGAAAAGCATCTCTCTTTCACCAACAGAAGTTGGTCCAATAGGAGATATTACCTCACCCACTTCGTCTCTCTAATATCGCTCACTCACTCCTTCCCAACTTCAGAGGCTGGGCACCCTTCTCAATACAGAGGTCCCTTTGTATCTCTCTTCCTTAATTCTGAATTATGTACGGAAGACTTTAGAAAGAAAAAATATTAAAAAGTAACTGGACTCTGCAAATATAAGGAAAATCAGTGTCACCTGGAGCTCAGACATAGATTCTACAATGATGGGAGGTGTACAAATATTAAATCGTCATCCTTGAAAAGAGTCCTTTTATTTTATATTTGGAAAGAGGTCCCTTTGAATTATATGTTTACTTTATTGCTGATAAATCATAGGGTATCTTTAAAAAGAAATATAGTATAAGAAATATGGTACAAACTTCCATTTTCCAGGTACTGGCTTAGCAATTTTTTCTTTTATGCCACTGCTCAGTGTGAAATTAACAAGGAGTACAGTGTTCAGATGACATATGAAAGGGCAACTGGTGAGGGAAAATGAAAGCATTTTAGGGGTAGAAGGGTTGTGCTGGGCTGGAGGGAGAATAAGGTTTTGTGAGGTAAATTCCAGTTTAAACTAAACACCTGACACCCTAATTAAAACTGGAAATAAAGCTCCACAGAGGTGTGACTCCAATAAGGACGATTTTGCGACTGGATGTTTAACAATGTGAGAATCATGTTAACAGAACATAAATTTAACATTAATTTCCCCTCTCATTTAAGCTGAAATGACATCATATTCTGGCATTTTACTTTTTTTTTTTTAACTGTTTGTAAGTGGTTAGCTTTAGGTACACATAGCTGAAAACAGCTACAGGTTATGATTTACTAAAGGGATATGTTTTAAAAGTGTGACATGGAAGGACTCTGAATAAACCCTGATGTTTGTGAGTGGGATTTGTGCTCATGGCTCCAGAGCACTATGTTAAAAATACATCCAAGGGCTGGTTTACACTGAAAACTTCCATAGGCATACCTGTGTCTCCCACAGGTGTGAAAATATCACACCCCGAGAGATGTAGCTATGATGACCTAACCCCTGGTGGAGGCAGTGCAAGGTCAACAGAAGTAACGATTCTTCCATCGACTGAGCAACCGCCTCTCAGAGACGAGGTAGATTAACTATGGGGACAGGAGAACCCCCTAGTGAGGGCCTAGACGGCAGTGCTGCAACTGTAGCACTTTAGATGTAGATATCGTCTACACTAGAAAATTAGGTCAGTTTAACTATGTTTCTCGGGGGTGCAATAAATTCACACCCCTGAGCAGCGTTGTTAAGCCGACCTAAGTCCCCATGTAGACAGCACTAGATCGATGGAAGAATTCTTCTGTTGATCTAGCTGCTGCCTCTTAGGGAAATGGGTTACCTATAGTGACAGGAGAACCCCTTCCATTGAGATAGGTAGTGCCTACTCTGAAATGCGACAGCGGCATATCTGCTGCCACTGTAGTGTTTTAAGTATAGACGAACCCTCAGAAACTTCACATTACACTGCTAATGAGTGTGAGCTTGGTGGCAGGTTCTGTTTCTAGCGCATGGGGATGCTCACACCAGCCAACTGAATGTTTCCAAAGTGGACACCTTTGTGTTTTCTTATTTTCTAATCAGCTGCAACTTTTTAGCTACTGCTTTACAAGTCCTCTGCTGTGAAAGCTGGCATGTGTAAAAACAGTGGCTCTCCTTAGACATGAACAGGAAATGGCTGATTCACACAGCAGAGAACTTGCAAACTCGTAGCCAAGTGTGGAGTTTTAAACCTTAAAACAAAATACCATGCAATAGAGGTTAAATGCTGCTTCATCGAGACAGAGCGCTAAGACTTGGAGGAGGAGCTGAAAGGGGACAGAAAAATACTATCCAGGGCTCTTATCAAAGCTTTGGCACTTTTAAATTTGACAAGTCTTGAAACTGCAGGCTGTGCAGAATAGTGTTGAACTGAGAAGCAACTGTTTTTAAAACACCCCCTCCAAATCTCTATCAACAGCTTGAACAACCTTGGAGATTCCTCCCATCCTGTTCTTTTATAACACTTTGCCTTGAAACGTAGTCCAGTGGTATTAAAATATCAGACTCCCTGTAACCTCATCAGATTGAACTGCATACTCAACTGGAATGTCCAGTCACAGTAATATACCTATGTCCCAGTTCTATAGTTATTGCATACCCAGTATTCCACTGGACTTCGATGAGAGCATAAAAACTGTAGGAACTTAACATTAAATAGCAAAATCTTCAGTATTCCACATTCCTTACAGAAGCAGCACTGAGTTCCACATATACAGGGAAAAGAGAATAACAGAGTTGAAATTCACCACACCAATCTGAGAGCAGCATTTTCCCCTCATGTTGCTACAAGAAAGGCTAATCACATATACATCTCAGGCTACATTGTGCCATTATTTAGCCACTAACCACCATTAACCCTCCAAAGAGGCAATTACACTACTCCAGGAGAAGCACAATTTCTTTAACGCTGGTCCTTATGCACAGGGGAAGAGCAATTTGCTCCATCCATACTAAGCTATGGCTTGTACTTTTTGATAACTTTTTGTTCAACTATGTTTCATATGCAAATTATTAAGATAAGTATTGGCCTAAATTTTCAAACTTGAATGCATCAAGTTAAGCTCCTAAAATCTATATTTAGGCACCTACACAAAAATGGTCTGATTTATAGAGCGCCCACCACTACCATTTAATTTAACACTGATTGTATTAAAGGTGCCTAAACAGATTGAGATGCCTAACTTGAGGCACCCAAGTTTTAAAATGTTGATTATTGTACATAACCTTCCCCCCAAAATATCTGAAATACTACTTGTCCCATCAACCTGCAGGTGCTGTCGACTGAGTCCTCTGGACAGTGGTGATTGCAGTGACACTGCAGTGGCTTCTGGGGAGGAGCAGGTGCCGTACTCTCACCATCTTCCTTTCTGTTCTCCAAGTTCAATTGTCCAGAACTCCGCAAATACGGTTTGTCTAGACCATTGGCTACAAAAGAAAGAAGAAATGTAAGTTTCCAGGTGGGGTGTGTGTGTGAAAGACTCTGAACAAGTCTTAATTTTTTTTTCTTACTCGCAAAAATTTTAGACAGTTCTTGGTTTTGTATTGGAGATTAAAGTGCAGTTTTAAGATGACTCTAAAAATGTAATTGTGGGGTTTTATGTTTATTGTGCCTCAATGATTCCATATCAAATTTGCTAATTGTATAAATTTTCTAACTGCCATCCATACAACCTCAAGTGGGGGCTGAGAATCAAACCGTTCCCCCCGCCTCCTCCCCCTGCTTTGGTGCATCATTACCGGTACCAGATTCTGTAAGACAAATTCCGTACTTGGTTACACCACTACCTTCAGTGGAATTGCACAGTTGTAACAGAGGGCAAGGTTTGGTCCCGTAATTTTAGTAATAGTTTATTGATGGTGGGTGGATGGAATAGAATCCAGCTCCCTCTCCCAAATTTATGTTGCCTCTTCAATTAAAAAAAACCCTGCTAAAAACAACTTATTTTTGTCACCAAAAGCAAGGACATATTACTTTAAATATACATAGTCTAGTCTATTAAGTAAGAAAATGCCAGTTTTTATATAGTAACTATAGAGTAGGAATGCACTTTAGGATGAACAACTCCAAACCTTACAGAGGTTATTAATCCCTTCTCAAACCAGCAAGCATGAGGTGATTTAGGGCTCTGTCTTTTTGGAAGGGGGGGGGGTTCAAAGGATTTTCTCTTTTTCAGTACTACTCACGCAGCACTTAAAACTAACATATACTTAGAATTTCAGTGTTAAGGACAAAAAAATTAGCTCGGCATTAAAACCAGCATTGGTAGTTTCTTACTTTTAATTTTCTCCCTCCTCCCCCGCCTGTAATCTCTTTCAAGTGTCATCTGGAGCCAACTCTCTCAACCTGTGGAGCTTAGACAGCATTTGGATAAACCCCCCACATTCTTGTCTTACTTTTTTATTTACAATCTTTAAAAACCATTTGCATACTTTTGATTCCCGGTCTGTTTCTCCAGATCCAACCAAACACTTTTTCTCATGCCTCCAGCAGGTCTGCAGGGAATGAGCATAGTTTCCTCTGCAGTGACTATTCCTTACCACTTTGGGAAGCCCTGATGCAACTGAGGATAGGACAGGGAGACTAGCTTTCCTCCTCTGCTCCCTCCACTGTTGTGGAGTTGCTGGGCAGAAAAAAACTGAAGAGGAAGCAGAGGAGGGGTGGCAGAAAGCAGCTGCCTCAGCACTTTAATGGCGAGGAGGTGACAGGGATAGAATGGGATGGCAGAGGCTGGAGGGGTAAAAGGGTAAAGGGACAGGAACCATAGGGCTATCCTCCTCAACCTTTTCCCCCGTTAGGCCCAGTCTCCTCCTGGGACTCACAGGGCGCTTTCAGGTTTCAGACTGGATCAATCTCTCTGCACCTGGCTAAACTCTGCACAAAGAGCTTATCTTTCCCATCTGAATGAAACCTGTCCAGATAACAGCTACGATGGCTGTACAAGCTTTAGTGTTCTCCTCATTCATTAATGGGTGATATAAATGAACATAATCTTCAGCAAACTGGGAAAAAGGGTTCTCAGCTCATAAGCTTTGATAAAAGTGTGACCTGATGGTGAAATGCCTGAGAACCACTGATCTAGAGAGAAAACTTAGATTTGGGGAGCCTATAGCCCTCCCATTCCAATTTCACCTCAACGGACTATAGCAGAAAATATCAAACTATCCCCATCATGAAAAACATTTGAATACAACCACCAATGTAATGCATGTGAAATATAAACAAAAGCCCACAGAATGTACATTAAAAGGCACATGGAATATACATTAATGGCCTGATCTTGGAAGGTGCTCAATAGCCTCACATCCCACTGAACCCCATGACAGCTTTGAGTACTCAGCACTGCTGAAAGTCAAACGAAAGCTCATTGTGAAGTATCCATAACATAAAACATTTGCATTTGGTGCACAATACACCTGGCTTCCCCAGAGTCCCGTAGCTGCTTTTTTTTTTTTTTTTTTTTAAATCTTAGCAAAATCAGAAATTAAAACCAATTTACACAAGGAATTCATTGCATCTGATGTATTTTCTACTTTCCCATAGCTATGATTAGTATTAAGTATTTTCTTTTTTAAATAAATTATATTTGCATTATGATCTGCTTCTATTTCTCTAAAAGTGTCATTTGTATTTATCATATTTTAAATCCAGCCTATATGCAACAAATTAACATCAATAAATGTTCCCTTTGTGGGTCACTGGAACACAGATTTTTAAACTAAGTCCTCTTTCAACAAGCAGTCACAAAGCAGGTTTTCTGACTATATTACATTGTTATTTGTGGATAAGAACTGAACTTTTAAAATGTTCCAGTCAAATATTTTCAGACAGCTGGCTCATGGGGCAGGAAATCTAAATAAAAATATTAATAGTAATACTGAGTGAAAACACTAGGCTCTGATTTAATCATGACATTTTCTGGATTTATCTACTAGCCAGCCAGAGCTTTTCTATGGCAAAAATGACAAAATGGTAACATTCTAAGTCTAACATAAATAATGGGTCTGGAACAATTAAATATCATAGTATGTCTCTGAAGCTATCAAATTTAGACAAGTAAATGCCTTCTTCTCTATAAATGCAACCTGATGTCTTTCCTTTTCTCTCAGCAGAGACTGATGTGCAGACAGCAATACAGAGTGACATCAGTCAATTTTGATCTAGAACAACTACTCTCAGTGAATCCAGCAACTACCTAATGAATTAATTTAGGTCTCAAGAAATATAACACAAGACTTCTAACTTTTCTAAATCCTGCACTTGCCCATTCACTTACTAAATTATTTTTCAATTTCATTGTTATAAAATGTCTATTTTTATTAAAATATGAAAAATCACATAATACCTATACTGCATGCACTGTAGAATGATTACATCTGAACAGACCAAAATTACAGCACTGAAATGATTGTTTTATGGGAAAGGGAAATTGTTAACTGCTAACTCACTGTACTTTACAGTCAGTCATCAGATAAAAGAATTCCCACCCTTTTTTTTGCGTGTGGCAAATAATCAGCTATGACAATGCAGCTCTTAAAGGAAGTTGTAATAAAGTATGCCTCAACACAGCCTGATATACTGCATAAAAAAGTAAAAAGGTAACAGTAAAACCACAGTATTGCTGATGAGATGTTATTGGTGATGATAATATACTGAAGAAGAAAAACAGAATGACGAACAGGTTTCCATCATCCTATACTCACTGTTGCCAAAAAACTGAAAAAAGGTCAGGTTAAGTACCGCACATTTTTATTAAAAAACTGAGTAAATTAAATTTGGTATGAAGAAAAATAATCCTCCCTTTCAATAATATGATGCAGTATTATGAAGACCAAAGTTAAGGTTGTAATGCATTTTACTTGACAATTAATTTAATTTGGTATACATCTGATGGAATATTGATATGCTGGAATGTCAGTGGAAATGTAATATGTTTGGGATTATGTTGTATGACATTTTGTTTTCTAGGCTTATTTGGCTGTGCTGTTCACAAGTTCTTGCAGTCCTTACTCAGGCAAAATTCCTACTGAAGTCATCAATTTTGGATTTCTCTCTCTTTGCATAGATCAAATTTTATCAAAAAAAGTCATGACACAAATATTGTTTGTGGCGTTGTAGCTGTGTTGGTCCCAGGATATGAGACAGACAAGGGGGGGTGAGGTAATATCTTTTATTGGCCCAACTTCTGTTGGTGGAAGGGACAAGCTTTCGAGCTGCACAGAACTCTTTCTCAAATCTGGAGAAAGTAACCAGAGTGTCACAGCTAAATACAAGGTGGGACAGATTGTTAGTCATAAGATATTTACACATGTTGTAGGAAATCACTTAAGATGAAGTGGCATTTAACACCTCTTCAGTCATAGGACAAAGGAGGGTTAGTAGGCAACAAGGTATGTTACAATTTGTTGTCATGAGGCAGAAAACCAGCATCTCTGTGAAGTCAATGGCTTTTAAGGTACAGCAGAATTACGAATTTAAATTCCCAGACTCGTCTTTTGAAGGTGCTGTGCAGGTTCCTCTGAGGATGAGAACTGAAAGGTCAGATATGGAAAGATTGCTTTATGAAGTGTTTGCCCATGGGTGATCTGGTGTTTCTGTGAGTTCATCCGAGAGCATAGTGATTTGTCTGATTTCACCCATAGAGTTGTTGTTGGGGCATTTGATGCACTGTATGAGGTACACCACATGTTGTGATAGGCATCTGTAGGACCCATGGATCTTGAAAGGCATGTTGGGGTGTATTGTAGCAGTGGAGATGTCTCTGTAGGTTTTGCATTGTTATTCTGGAAGTGATGATCTGTGGCAACGGAAGTGAGCTACCACGACTGAGAATACCCTTGGTGCTGTTGCAAGGCCAAAGGGGAGCACACTGTGCTGACAGTGATTCATACCTATAGTGAACCTCAGGCATCTTCTGTCTGAGGGATGGATGTCTATGTGGAAATAGGCATCCTTCATATCAAGAGCTGTGAACTAGTAGTTTTTGTTCAGTGAGGGAATTAAGTAAGTCATGGTGACCGTCCTGAATCTCCATCTGTGGATAAAGACATTGAGCTGTCTGAGATCTAAGATGGGTCTCCATCTTCCCTTCTTTTTGAGGATGAGGAAATATTTTGAGTGAAAACCCTTTCCCCAGCGTTAAAGAGGCACTGGATCTGTGGCTCCCTGGTGAAGGAGGGATTCTATTTTGTGAATGAGCAACCTCTCATGACAGTGGTCCCTGAAAAGGGATGGGGAAGGGAGTTTTGGAAGGGGAAGAGAGAGGAACTCTATGGTGTTGCCAATATGAACGATGTTGAGAACCCATTTGTCTATTTCAGAGTGGTAGCCGTGTTAGTGTGTATCAGCAAAAACAACGAAGAGTTGCTCAGGTATAGATCTTGCCTACTTCCAACTTAAATTGAATTGGCTCGTTAGCACTGACCCC